CAGCGCAGTACAGGCCCTTCGGCCCTCGATGTTGCGCCGACCTGTGAAACCAATCTGAAGCCCATCTAACCTTCCATTATCATCCATATGTTTATCCAATGACCATTTAAATGCCCTTAAAGTTGACGAGTCTACTACTGTTGCAGGCAGGGCATTCCACGCCCTTACTACTCTGAGTAAAGAACCTACCTCTGACATCTGTCTTATATCTATCATCCCTCAATTTAAAGCTATGTCTCCTCATGCTAGCCATCACCATCCGAGGAAAAAGGCTCCCACTGTCCACCCTATCTAATCCTCTGATAATCTTGTATGTTTCTATTAAGTCACCTCTTAACCTTCTTCTTTCTAACGAAAACAGCCTCAAGTCCCTCAGCCTTTCCTCATAAGACCTTCCCTCCCCATATCAAGCATTTTGTGTGTTGTTTGAGCTGCAGTCATCCAAGCAAGCAGGGAGTATTCCATCTCACTCCTGAGTTGTGCCTTGTAGATGGTAGGCAGCCTATGGGAAGTCAGGTGGTGTGTTTCTTCCTGCAGTATTCCTAGCCTCTGACCTACCCTTTTAGCCACTGTATTTATATGCCAAGTCCATTTGAGTTTCGGGTCAAAGGTGACCCCAAGGATGATGGTGGGGGATTCAATGATGGTGACACTGTCGAATGTCAAGGGGCAGTGGTTAGATGGCCTCTTATTAGAGATGGTCATAGCCTAGCATTTGTGTGGCACGAATGTTACTTGCCACTTGTTAGCCCAAGCCTGGATATTGTGCAAATCTTGTTGCATTTGAATCTGAGATAACAAGGTGTAGAGCTGGATGAACACAGCAGGCCAAGCAGCATCATAGGAGCAGGAAGGCTGACGTTTCGGGTCTAGGCCTGAAACGTCAGCCTTCCTGCTCCTATGATGCTGCTTGGCCTGCTGTGTTCATCCAGCTCTACACCTTGTTATCTCAGATTTTCCAGCATCTGCAGTTCCTACTATCTCTGCTTTTGAATATGGCCTGCTTCAGTATCTGAGGGGTTGCAAATGATGCTGAACATTGTGCAGTAGTTTTGACTTGGATTTCTCAAGGTTATAGAGGCTGGATATGGATACATGGAACAGGCAGAGCTATAGCAATGTATGCCAATTCTGAGAAGAGCATGTTGCTTACACACCATGTAGGTAAATGTATACACACCTAATACTGCCATTATTGAGTAACTAAGGAAGTAAAGCACTCGATGATCATCACTTTTATGTTATCTTCCATCCAAATAAAAAGCATTTATCCAACCACAGCATCCATTACTCATTTCTTATTTCCTAATCCAATGCAGCAGACTGCATTTCTGGACACCCAATTACTTACTTAGTGGCAATTCAACACTTAAATATGAAAGAGCTATTATAAGGAGGGTGGGGAATCCCATGCTGAAGCAACTAAGCTGTTGCAAAATTATCCGCATTCATTTAAAAATGTTTACATCACTGGTGGAATGTTATAACAATGGGCTGATGCAACCCAGCTATCCACCGAAATTAATAATCAATTAGACCTGGTGTTGTGCTGAAGTAGATATGAATGTGGCCAGTTTAAAAATTGCATTGAGAGAAGCCAGAAAATATTGGCTTAGTCTGAATCTAGAACAGTTTAGGGCCCCTTACCTAAGGAAAGATGTACTGGCACTGGATGCAGGTCCAGAGAAGGTTCACTAGGCTAATCTTGGGTATGGAGGGACTGTCTCATGAGGAGACATTGAGTAGGGTGGGCCTGTACTCATTGGAGTTTAGAAGAATGAAAGGTGACCTTATTGAAACATGCAAGATTCTTAAAGGAATTGACAGGACAGATGCTGAGAGGTTGTTTCCACTTGTGGGACAGTCTAGGACCAGAGGGCACCATCTCAGGGTAAGATGTCACACATTTCAGACAACAATCAGGAAGAATTTCTTCTCTCATAGAGTAGTGAGTCTGTGAAATTTTTTTAGTGCAGAGGGCTGTCAAGGTTGGGTTATTAATTATATTCAGGGCTGAGATAATCAGATTTTTAAGAAGTGAGGAAATCAAGGGTTATGGGGAAAAGTGGACGTGAGGAATATTAGATTAGTCATGATCTCATTGAGGTGTGGTGCAGACTTGATGGGCTGAATGGCCTACTGCTCTTACATCTTATGATCCTATGTTCATAAAAGCAGATTATCTAATCATTATCGTGTTGCTCTTCGTAGGTACTTCCAATGTATAAATTGGTTTATTTGTTTCTTACATTACAACAGTGACTACACATCAAAAGTAGTTGGTTGGCCATAAAGCGCATTGGGATATCTAGAGGACATGAAGAGTGCTTTATAAATGCAAGCACTTTCATTATGGTTTAGATGGATGAGTGTGAACAGACAGTTTGACCGTAGGAATCAGACAGAAGGGTAATCTTGTTATCTCTGACAGACATGAGTTTTCCAGTAGGAGATGCTGGGATAGCTGGGAGGGTGGGGTCAGCAATGGTTACTGGGGATGCTTTTCCTCTACATTCCCTTCTTTATCTTAATAATTGTGAAGTTAATCCTAGTTAAAATCAGCTTACCTGTGTTTCCAATCTCATCGAATCCCTACTGTGTGGAAACAGGCCATTTAGCCCATTCAGTCCACACTGATCCTCCAAAGACCATCCCACCCAGACCCAACACCCTATCCTATCCCTGTAACCCTGCATTTCCCGTGACTAACCCACCCAGCCTGCATATGGACAATTTAGCATGGCCACCCCACCTCACCTGCACATCTTTGGATTGTGGGAGGAAACCTGAGCACCTGAAGGAAGCCCATGTAGACATGGGGAGAATGTAAAAATTCCACCCAGGCAGTCACCCGAGAGTAGGTTGGAGCTCATGTCCCTGGCGCTGTGAGGCAGCAGTGCTGACCACTGAGTCACTGTGCAGATCTGTATGACATTGTGTTCAGTTAGCCATGTTTAACTTATTGGATCATTATTGAAACCATAAACCTTACTGAATCTCACAAATTTCTGGATTGCCGACTCTTCTACATATCTTACTGATTAATTCTGATGTTGATGGCAAATAAACTAAAGTGTGCTGATTACTGCCAGCTACAGCTGTGATCTGTAGCCTCTCAAGTAACTTATTTTCCAGACATGTACATTTGCATCTGAAGCTTGAAGATAAACAGCAGGACCTTCAAGCAATGTAATGTGTTTTAAAAAGAAGTTTAATATTTTGGATGGTGTTCTTTGTACTGGAAAATAAGTAATAAGTGAGTTAATGGGGCTTATATGAGTTGAAAGACACGTTCAAAGGCTAGTGTTATTTCACTATCAGAGGAATGATTCCATCTGAACATCAAGGTTGGGGAATAGAAAATGTGGGGCTTTTTCATGCTGTTGAAATATTAGGTTAGTTAAATTTTTCCTGAGTTCACTCCTGTAAATCATCCTGAAACTCCTAATGCAGGTAATACCTTAAAACTGAATATTTTATTCCAGTCACTGATCATTCACACCAGTTGATATTTAGACTACTGGCTTCCATAGAGTCCCTAATGTGTGGAAATAGGCCATTCGGCCCAACAAGTCCACACCAACCCTCCAAAGAGCATCCTACCCAGACCCATCCCCTATCCCGGGAACCCTGCATTTCCAACGGCTAATGCACCTAGCCTACATATCCCTGAATACTATGGGCAATTTAGCATGGCCAATCCACCCAACTTGCACATCTTTTGACTTCTAAAAGATTACAGTTTACAACACAGCGCTAACGCAGTGAGGAATGGAACTTGGCCAGCATACAAACTGTTTTTTTCTCTCTCAGTAGTGTGGGGCAGATCAATGTTTTTCCATGCCTGCTGCTTGTAAACTAATGATCATGTCTGCAGTGTTTTTAAACTTGGACTGATGTAGGAAAATGTTACTGACACACGCTCAATATTGAAAATTGATGGGGATGAAAATTGAATGACTTTATAAATATTATCTGTCAAAAGGAGGAACAACTAGGTGTTGCCACTAAACTGCCTTGACCATGCTGAAATTGCTTTTTGCTGCAACAAAATAGAAGCGATTTGTTCCAATGGCTATGTATCAGTCTCGAAAGGTCTGAGAGATCCCCAGTCTAAACACTGCTCTTGGCTGATTTAGCTAACCTCATTGCTACAGGGAAGATGCAATTGGCAACAGCACTTCCTGGATTGAGGGGTTGAGAAATCACTCATGGTCCCATATTGCAATACTCTGTTAGAAGTAACCACTGACTGAGGACAGTATCGGGCCGGTTATGGTGTCTAACACAGTTGGATAACCTGCTGACACTTTCCATTGAAGCTCATGTATGAATTCACATTAGGCCAAGGTGCAACAGGGTGACTGGTCCCTGAGAGTAGCCTTTATTCACTTTGGTGACAAAGATGTAAGGACCTTCATGAGTATTGAATCTACATCTGTCCCTTCATAGTTGTGGTGCTCCACCACACTGCTATGCTTCATTAAAGGGAAACAATATGCTGTTCAATATTAATCCAAATGTGTCAGGATGCACCAGACCGGTTTTTGCTCACATGATCATGTGACAGATTATTTGCCTAATGTGTAACATTTTACCGTAATTCCAAAGTGAACTGGAGAGTAATATGTTAGAAGCCATTTTCCCAATTTTCTCACCTCGCCTACTATGTTTTTTCTCGCTGTTGTACAATTCCAGGTGCCTTGGTCCCTTAGCTAGGTGACCATTCTTCAAGCACCATAAGTGCTAGTAACTTTTTGAGCAGGGGTTTGAGGCAGCATGACCGAATAGTAGCAGCCAATGTTCCAAACTGATCATTATCAAATAGCCTTCAGCAGAAAGTCACTGGTGACCCAATTTGGAAAGTCCACTCATGGTCAGGGTTAGGAATTTTGTCTGACATTTTCTCCCCTAGGTGGGGCCTTAGCAGAAATCAATTTGCAAGTACTGTTGAGGCATTGAGATGTAGCTGCTCAGATTTTGACTTTTCTTTTCCACAGCTTTAGAACTGCTGAAACTCGCCATCGGGAAAGCTGGGTATTCCGACAAGGTTGTGATTGGAATGGATATTGCAGCCTCTGAGTTCTTCCGTGATGGGAAATATGACTTGGATTTCAAATCCCCACCTAATCCCAACCGTTACGTCACCCATGACAAGCTGATTGAACTTTACATGAGTTTCATAAAGAATTACCCTGGTAAGACTGTATATCGCTTAGTCTGACAGTGGTTGTATCTCTGAATTAAACCTATATACGGTGACATCACTTTAACCTTTGGTCAAATTTAGCAAACTGGTTGCTCTGGTTAAAATTTGCTCAGCTCATATGGTTTTGTATTTCAGCAATAGCAGTGAACTCACTGGACCATTGCTAAATCCAGCAACTGCTTACATCTTTAATTCATCAGCCTTAACCATTCCTTACCCATTTTATGGGTCAGGTGCTGTACAGTTGGCATTAGTGTCAAAATCTGTTTGTTTTTCAACTCGATTGTATCATCCTTCAGTGTTGGTGGAACACGTTCCATGATTAACAATATGGTTCACGGTAACAGTTTGGTTGTTCGAATCTGATAATTGATTTTAGTCATGTGGAGCAAGGAGAAGAACATTATTAGAATGGAAGCACTGATTCTATTCCCCAGTATTGCAGCAAGTGTGGTTTATCTAATGTATCCTTCACCAGTTTTCAATTTAAAGTTCGCTGTTTACAGGTTACTCATTACCATGTAATCTGGTCTCTTGGGAACACTGGGGGTTAGGGAGCGGAATTCACACTTGCTTGATTACCTACTGATCTACAATGTAAGCTCAATATGCCTGAGACACAATTCTCACCACAGATCGTGGAGTATAAGTCAACCTCCTCTTTATCAACAGCATATTTCATTTCTGGGCCTATACTTGGCAAATAAGTTAACTCCCCTTCTGCTAAGAAATACTGTACTTGCATTAGGAGTCAGCCTCAATTTTTTTCACCTCAGAAATACATGTTTTACTAACCTTTTTATAAGTCATGGGATCAAGAGCAAGTAATAGGGGCTGTGTTACAAGGAAGAAATGGCAGTTTAAAATGCCCACACAGAGCAAACAATACCTGCTAAATGATGCATGGAAATAGGTTCTCCAGTAACAGGAATGAAGTGATTTCAAGCTAAAAACTGTAACATTTGCTGACTCATCAAATAACTCAATGAATGGCAGGACACCAGGGAGCTCAGAAGAACAGAGGGATCTTGGGGTGCTTGCCCACAGATTCCTGAAGGTGGCAGGACAGGTTAATAGGATCGTTAAGGCATTTGGGATGCATGCCTTTATCATTCATGACATAGATTGTAAGAATAGGAAGATTATGTTGGAGCCTGTATAGAACTTTGATTAGGCCACAGCTAGAGCACCGTGTGCAGTTCCAGTCTCCACACTATAGAAAGGATGTGATTGTACTGGAGGGGGTGCAGAGGAGATTCACCAGGATGTTGCCTGGGATGGATCATTTCAGCGATGAAGAGAGCCTGGATAAGCTCAGGCTGTTTTCTTTGAAGGAGAAGTTTGAGGGAGAGATCCGATTGAAGTGCATAAGATTGAGGATCATGGACAGGGTGGACAGAAAGCAGCTGTTCCCTTTAGTTGAAGGTTCAAGAACAAGGGAAAGGGCGGTTTCGAGGGAATTTGAATAAACCTTTATTTCACCCAGAGGGTGATGGGGGTCTGGAATGCATTGGCTAGGAAGGTAGTTGAGGCAGGAAGCATAACAACCTTTAAAAAGTACTTGGATGAGCACTTGAAGTGATATAGTATTCAAGGTCATGAGCCTTGTGTCAGAAAGTAGGACTTGTGTAGGTAGTATATTTTTTGGTGATGAGCCGAAGGTCCTCCTGTACTGTATGATTCTATAAACTGTGCTGCAGTGAAGGTATTCGGTGTTAGAGAAAAACTTGTGCAAGAGTGGAAGAATCTGCACTGAAGAAGATGGCCAAGACCAAACAAACTGTGAGAACAGGGACCAGCCACTGGCCTGATCTTGAGAGGTATGGATCAGAGTGGGTGCTAGAAAATCATCAATACAGTTCCACAGTTACCTGAAATGCTCTGTGTATTTCCGCATTTAAGTGGGACACATTAAAGCCCAAAACTGTTAAAAGTTTCAGAGTGACAGTTGTAGTCGTAGAATATATAGAACATAAATATCTGGCATTGCATCAAACATTCAGGATAGTTCAGAAACTCCAAAAGAGCTCTGCTAAAATTACCAGTTTCCAGTGATTCATTGTCAGACAGTGCCAAAAATACAAGTTGCATTATATCATATCAGCAACACTGATGAAAGGCCTACTAATTTTAATATGACAAGCAACCAACCACTGGAGTGGAGAGAGTTGAAAACCATACTAGTGAAAACTATAAGATGAGAATAAGACAAGATTTATGGTGGAACTGGTCTGATTGAACAGAAGTAAAGCCTGTGGTTAAATAAACACTGAAAATCACGTTTAAAAAAACAAAAAGCTGCAAATAATAAAGATCTGAAACAATGGCAGAAATTGCTGGAGAAAATGCTGCAGAAAAACAAAGTTAACATTTTGCATCCAGTGACCCTTCTTCAGAACAAAAGTTCTTCACTTCTGAAGAGGGTCACTGTGCTTAAAACGTTAACTCTATTTTGTCCACAAATGCTGCCAAACCTCCTGAGTTTCTCCAGCAATTTCTGTCTTGTTACCAAAAATCATGTTCCCTGCAGGGGTTTATTGTGCATGTTTGTGATGGTGACGGATGAGGATGGAGTAAAGGTACTGATCAGTAAAGTGGGGAACAGGTATCTCAGTGGTCAACATAAAAAACAGTTCGTAAATGTATGGAATATGTACAGAAACTGTACAAGCAATTAGTGGAAAAGCCATTTGTAATTAAATGACACCTGAATTACACTTATATCGGGGTCGAAAGTCCATAGATGAATCTTTTGGACAATTGCCTCAATAAGTGACTCAAGGACAATGCTCACACTGTACACAATAGTCAGATGGCCATTGGAGGTAAGGAAACCTTGACGTCACGAAGAGTGGAGATATGTTTACTACCCCGTTTGATGTCTCATTGGGTTTCATCATCAAATTGTGGAATGTATATCTTTTGTCAGATTGTGCAAAAGACAATGATTTGTTGCGGAAGGATGATTCTGAGAATAAAAAGCGTCAGACCTGATCCAAAATAGGGTCCCTAAGATTATGTGAAATGACTCAAATGAATTAAATGAACCCTGTGCATCAGAAATCAATGTTTTTGATTTTTTTTTAATGTTTTGAATGTGGTAAATGTTATTAATGTTATCTTTGTCAAATTGATTCAATAGCATGCATCATAATGATTTTAATATGACTGCTGGTCGGGCTTCTTCCTTATAACAAAATAGCAGCCACCTACACCACCACTGGTGGCTAACATTTCACACTTCACTTGTAAGTCGACTGCTGTTTTTGGGAGGATTTTCCGAGATACCACAAATTGACTTAAATGACGTGAACTACTGTAAGTTGCTGAAAAGAGGAAATAAGTGAATAGCTCAATAATAGGAAAAGTTTATTTCAAAAAGTAACCCTGTCCACTGTTTTATAAATACTATGTTCACTCAGTAACTGAATTACCACAGCATTGTCTCAAAACCTCGATAGAGAGGAGAAAGAAGGCTTGAGAAAAGAAATTACGGAAGTGAAATAACTGCACAGAGACCGGCATCCCATCACCAAGTCACTTTTTACGTGCGTGTGGACAATATGTGGGCTCTGACCAGCCAGCTCAGAGCCACTCCCTAGACTCTGAATCTCCTGTTTACATCAGTCAGCCAGGGCTCCCTGATCGGCCCAGGTTAACAACCCCAATCAAGGATCTCATGGTCAATGATATCCACCTGGCCCTGATTCCAATCACTAGAAGAAGTCTGTGTCGGGAGTAACTGAACTAATTCTGTCCAATTTCTCAATAGTACCTCATCAAATCAGTAGTCAGGTTGATTCCAGGTTTGGGTGGAGTGAGGAGGAAGAAGAAACAGAAGACTGAACAAAGGCTTAAGTGACTAAACATAATTATGCTAGAGACATGGCTCATGTGTCCAAAATAGAATGGTGAAAGGTTAGACAGGCTGGACCTGTATCCATTGGAGTTCAAAAGAATGAGAGATGGTCTTATTTGATCCTGAGGTGACTTGACAGGATGTATCCTGAAAGGATGTTCATCCATATGGGAGAGACTAGGAGACACAATTTAAACATAAACTTTAGGAGCATGAGCTGGGTCTTTGAGCCTGCTCTGCCATTCACTATGATCATGGTTGATCATCCAACTCAGTCCCCTGTTCCAGCTTTCTCCATACCCTTTGATCCCTTTAGCCCTAATTTAGGCCTAAGAACTTGATCTATCAACTTCTTGAAAACATTCAATGTTTTGGCCTCAACCACTTTCTGTCGCAGAGAATTTCACAGGCTCACCACTCTCTGGATGAAGAAATTTCTCTTCATCTCAGCCCTAAATGGCTTACTCTATATTCTTAGACTGTTATCCCAAGCTCTGGAAAATAAGGGGTCTCCCATTTAGGATAGAGATCAGGAGTTTCCTGAGTGTTGTGAGTCTGTGGAATTCTGTTTCCCCTGGAAGCTGGAGAGGTGGGACCATTGAATTACTTTAAGGCAAAGGTAGATTGACTGCCTTAGTCAAGAATCTTAGGGTATAGCAGGTAGCCAGGAAATGGAGTTGAGGTCGCAATTCGATCAGCCATAATCTTATCGAATGGCAGAATGGTCTCAAGGGACCAAATAGCTCCAGTTAATATAAAGGAAGACTGAGGTGGAGGCCTTTAGTAATGAGCGTAGTACTAGAAGATATAAGTTTAGAATTCAGATGCTTGAAGCAGCATTTGAGATTTGGAGGGGCTTGGACAATCAAATTGGAGGTGAGTAGACGTTATTCCCATAAGACAATGGACTCATGAAATAGAGTTCAAGGAATTGATTTCATGGAAATTTGCACTTTATTTTCTAGATCTAGACATGGAGAGGCAAGACTAAAGATAAAGAGGTTACAAAATACAGTTTGATGTTGCATTGCCTTCCTCCACCCTTCAGTTCTCAAGAAACAAACATTGAATTATGTGACCCTTTTATATAAATTAGCATTTGAGCTGTTGGTGATGAATGTAGTTCACAGTTAATCCTGCAGGGATTTTCTGATGAAGAGTCTAGGCCCGAAACGTCAGCTTTCCTGCTCCTATGATGCTGCTTGGCCTGCTGTGTTCATCCAGCTCTACACCTTGTTATCTCAGATTTTCCAGCATTTGCGGTTCCTACTATCTCTAATCCTGCAGGGAGCTGGGTTTGACAGACCCAATTGGACTTTTTCTTGTTCTGGATTTAATTGGTTCTTAAATTTTCTTTTTTTTTTTGCATTAATGTTGTCCTTAACTGTGTGAAAAGATTCAGAAAAATAAATAACTCTGCTTTCCAGTTGTCTCTATCGAGGATCCCTTTGACCAAGATGATTGGGCAGCCTGGAAACAATTTACAGCTCAAACAACAATCCAAGTGGTTGGTGATGACTTACTTGTGACAAACCCCACTCGCATTGCAAAAGCAGTTTCAGAGAAAGCCTGCAATTGCCTGCTGCTCAAAGTGAACCAGATTGGCACAGTCACAGAGTCCATTGAAGCGTGAGTTATTTTGTGTGTGTTTGTTTATATGGCAGTGGGGCTGGTTAGTTCAGGTATCTAACCAGCTAACGTGGGATTAAAGATAACACCATGGCATGGGTACAGCTCCTGTTTCAGCTGGTACTTGGACATGTCTTCTCATGTAGAGTGGTAATCTTCAAGTTTATATTACCAGTTTAGGATGGAAATGTCAAATACTAGATGGCATAGGTTTAAGGTGAGGAGGGAAAGATTTTTTACACAGAGGGTAGTTGGTGCCTGGAACAAGCTGCTTGGGAAGGTGGTAGAAACAGATACAATAGCAGGGTTTGAGAGGCATTTAGACAGATGCAGAGAGTAGAGGGATACAGACTATGTGCAGGCAAATAGGATTATTTTAGAATAGCATCATGGTCAGTACAGACATGGTGGGCCGAAGAGTCTGTTCCTGTGGTGTGCTATTCTATGTTCTATGATTGTTTCACTCTCTCTAATAGAGAGGCCTCTCTATGGTCAATGGTTCATTATCTACCAACCTTATTTAATGTAGCAAAAACTTCCCAGTTGCTGTGGAAATGCCCATCGAACAGAGAATATATTGGAAAAAGGTAACCAAAAGTGGGCTCAGATTTGGTAGAAGGGCATAGGGTTTATAGGGAGAATTCCAGAGTACACGATCTAAATGACTGAAGGCATGGCTACCAATGCTACAGTGAGGGAAGGGAAGAAGAACGGATGGAAGCATCTGAGAAATGGAGAATTCTGGAGCAGTCGAGGAGCTTTGGGAGCTGTGAAGGAGAGGCAATGTCATGGAGGGATTTAAACATACAGAATGTTTAGGAGGCAGTAGCCAATATAGTTCTGCAAGGACAGGAGTCATGAATGTACTGACAAGAAGACTGAGTAGTTAAGTGCTCGCTCAGTCAAAGTTCAAAGCATGCACATTGAATGGCTAATCAGGAGAGAATTGCAATAGTCAAATCTGAGGAATCGGAGGGGAGGCAATAGCCTAGTGGTATTGTCACTAGGGACTGTTAACCCAGAGACCCAGATAATATTCTGAGGACCTGGTTTTGAATCCTGCCATGGCAGATGGTGAAATTTGAATTCAATAAAAATCTGGACTCCAAAATTGGCCAAATGTTAAACATGTTAATTGTTATTTTTAAAAAATCCATCTGGTTCACTAATGCCCTTTAAGGAAGGACAACTACCATCCTTACTGGGTCTGGTCTACATGGGACTCTAGATCCATTGCAAAGTAGTTGATTCTTAACTGCTGTCTGGAATGGCCTAGCAAGTCACTCAGTCCAAGGGCCATAGGGATCCATAATAAATGATGGCCAGCCAGCAATACCCACTTCCCTAACAGATCAAAAATCTGAGTATCCCAGTCTTAAATGTTTCAAGGAGGGAGATTTCACAATCCCCTCAAGGCAGAGAGTTCCAAAGATTCACAATCTTCTGGGTGAAGTAACTTCACCAGATCTCAATGATCAGCCTTCATCCTGAGACTGTGACCCTACAGTTTAGATTCCCCTACCAGTGGAAGCAATCTGATAGCTTCTACCCTTATGAGCCCCTTCAGAATCTTGAGCATTTCAGTGAGTTTGCCTCTGAATCCTCTAAAGGCCAGACAAAATAGATCCAATTTACTCAGCCCCTAATTCTGTGAACCTTCCCTGCACTGCTCAAATGCAAGTATATCTTTTAAATGTGGAAGCCACGTCTTCACAAAGCACTCCAGGTGATATATCATTTCAGTGAATTCTTTAAGAAAGATTTAACTGCCTCATTTTCTTTGGGGGTTCTCTTGCCAATTTGTATTTTTTGTGCACAAGATACCTTTTTCAAAGCGTCTTTTCTTGTGTGACAATTACTGGAAGGACAGAACCTCAGTTATGGGTATCAGGCATCAAAAACGCATTGCCAAGTTACAGTCTTGGATAGAAGCCCTATTGGACAGACTTTGTAACAGATATCCACCTGAGATATTGATGAACGTGTTTTCTTTGCCAAGTCTTTAATTGGATCTGCTTTGGCCTTCTATCATTTTTTCTCCCTTTGTTTTTCCTTCCGTTTTACCCTAGTGTTTTCTCTTGTTAAGTATGTGTTGGATTTGCAGTACAGCTTCAATTCATAGGCCAACTTGGCTAGTTTGAGGTAAACTGTTTAATAATCCAAGGTCATGGAGTCTGCGGAAAAATATCTGACAGACTTGCTTCGTGGGTGTGTGTGTGTGAAATGCTATAAGGAATTCCGTTACTAAGTAATTCCTAAATGCAAATAGTTTTGGGTAGCTCAATTAGCTGGATGATCTGTTTCCATTGCGGAATGACGTTACCATGAAGGACTCTCCTTCTCAACCTCTGGTGACCATTACCGGTCGCCTCTCTTTAATGAGAGAGCAGCCTTATGGTCTGATAAGACTATGGCGATTTGACCTTGACAGGAATTCACCATACGTTAGCAATCTGTCTCGCTGAGCTCAATCCAGAGAGATCTGAGGAGAAATAAAAGACAACCAGCTCTTGACCAACCTTGAGTTCCTCAGTTTTGATCTTTTATTGTATGGAAACCAATATTTTAGGATTTGAGCATTTTTCATATTTGGCTCAAAGTGATCTAACCATTTGAATGAAAGCTATCTTAGTTTCACTTCAGTTTTTTTGCCATGTACAGTATCTCGGGGTATATTGCCATTTAAGCTATGCACAGTCTGGTTCGGCTACATATCTATTGCAGCCCAAGCCTAGAAATAAACTCCAGGCATGAGCCAGACATATCAGATGTTGAGTATTAAATAGACTGTCGGAACTCCTGTCTGCTCCATAACTTGCAATACTATTTAAATGAGTTTGGGCAACACTGGAGCAGCTGTAGATGCAGTTGGCTTATGTTCGGGTTTATGGGATCAGCTTTCTAGCCTGTTCACTGTACAAGCAGTTAGTGTTGGCCTGGTGGCTAAACATGCCACCTAGTGGTAATACTAATTGTTTGGTTTGGACTGGATTATCTGAACCCCTTGTAGACATACCAAAGGAGTTCCTCAGTGCCTTTTAGGTGCAGGAAGAAAATAATCAAACTGGCAGCCAACTCCTGGCTGCAATTGGTAACCCTGGCAGCAAAGTAAGTGGAAGCTCACTACAGGCTTAAAGAACACCATCTAGTCATTGATAAGACTATTCCTGGTTCTGTGATCATCCACACATTAATTAAATACTACAACGTGATACAGTGCCAGGCTAGGTGAGGAAAGAGAGTGGGTGGAAAAAAAAAGTAAAATCTAAGAACAAAATACTCCTAAGCATTTAGTCGGGAAAAGGATTTTACAAACTGGTTCTCCGGGCTGGGCCACAGAACTTGATTGTCAGGTTGAGACAGTAGGAACTGCTGATGCTGGAGTCTGAGATAACAAGGTGTACAGCTGGATGAACACAGCAGGCCAAGCAGCATCAGAGAAACAGGAAAGCTGATGTTTTGGGTCTGGACCCTTCTTCAGAAACGGGGAAGGGGAAGGGGGCTCTGAAATAAATAGAGAGGGAGGGCGCGATGATAGAAGTTGGTAGTGGAGCAGATAGATGGGAGAGAAGACGGACAGGTCAAGGAGGCGGGGATGAAGCTAGTAAAGGTGAGTGTAGGTAGGATGTTGAGATGGAGGTTGGTCAGTGAGGCGGGAGCAGTGGATAAGTGGGAGAGAAGACGGACAGGTCAAGGAGGCGGGGATGAGAGGGGGTCTGGTCTTGGGATGAGGTCGGGGGTGGGGAGATTTTGAAGCTTGTACCTTATAGTCTTGGAAACAATTAATACAGTTGTGTAGTCACCGAGCTGTAGAGCTGTATAGCACGGAAACAGACCTTTCATTCCAACTCGTCCACGCTAACCAGATATCCTAAATTAATCTAGTCCCATTTGCCAGCATATGGCCCATATCCATCTAAACCCTTCCTATCCATGTACCCATCCAGATATCTTTTAAAAGTTGTAATTGTACCAGCCTCCACCACTTCCTCTGGCAGCTCGTTCCATACACGCACCACCCGCTGTGTGAAAAAGTTGCCCCTTAGGTCCCTTTTAAATCTTTCCTCTCGCACCTTAAACCCATGCCCTCTAGCTTTTAACTCCCCTACCGTGGGGAAAGCACCTTGACTATTCACCCTATCCATGCCCTCATGATTTTATGAACTTCTACAAGGTCACCCCTCAGCCTCTGATGCTCCAGGGAAAATAGCCCCAGCCTATTCAACTGAGTCTGAAATCAGTGAAGCTTCTAGTCATAGGGACAAAACAAGGGAACTTCAAGGTCCTGCCACACTGCTGTTTTCTGGACGTGGCCAGCAATGATAACTTGTGAAACGTGGAGTAAATCTGCGTGTGACTGAGGGGTCTCATGTAGAATAATGTCAGGTAGGAGTGACATGACCCCTCCCCTCAATGACATGTATAAATCAATTGGAGCGTTATGAGAATCTAGTGTGTTTAATGTATTTGAATCCTGGTACCTTGTCACCAAGTTACCACTATTTCATTTGATTTTACAACATGCCATGGCAGGATTTGAATGCAGTGTTGATAATACCAGCATGATGACTGACAGATAACCTTGTCCCTTTATCATCCCCTTAATTTCTGAACAGTAAATGCTGAAGTAAATGTTTACAGTGGAATCCTTGTGCATTAATATTGTTATTGGTTGCACTAATTTTTTTTCGTCTTCCCATCAGTTGTAAGCTGGCCCAGTCAAATGGATGGGGAGTAATGGTGAGCCATCGTTCGGGTGAGACTGAAGACACTTTCATTGCTGACCTGGTTGTTGGTCTTTGCACTGGACAGGTAAGCCCAAGGGACCAGCAAGTCATCAAAAATTTAGCTGTACGGGAGGTGGAAAGGCTGATTGCGAGAATGATACAAACAGTTTGCAAAGAGATATTATCGGTTAGGTAAGTGGGCAAAAAGTTGTAAGTGGAGTATTTTAGAAGAGAAGACAAAATAACAGAATATTATTATAATGGAGAAAAAACAATAGAAAGGGACTTGGTGGTACGGGAGGTCTTGTGCAGAAAACACAGAAAGCTAGCATATGGGCAGCAGGTTATCAGCGAGGCTAGTGGAATGTTGGCCCTTATGTAGAGGGGTTTGGAGTATAAGAGTAGGGTCTGAAGAAGGGTCCAGACCCGAAACATCAGCTTTCCTGCTCCTCTGATGCTGCCTGGCCTGCTGTGTTCATCCAGCTCCACACTGTGTTATCTTATTTAAGAGTAGGGAAGTCTTACTGCAACTGGACAAGGTGCTGGTGAGACCATACCTGGGGTACTGTGGGCAACTTTGATCCCGTTATTTAAAGAAAGAGAATTTCTTTGGAAGCAGTTCAGATCACTAGGCTGATCCCTGGTATGGAGGGATAGTCTTATGAGCAAAAAGGATAAACAGGTTGGTGTTCTATGCACTGGAGTTCAGAAGAATAACTGATGGTCTCATTGAAACACACAGGATTGTTAAGGGGCTTAACAGGGTAAATGCTGAGAGGATGTTTCCCCTCATGAAGGAGTCTAGGTTCAGAGGGCATTGTCTCAGAATAAAGGGGCACCAATTCAAGACTGAATGAGGAGGAATTTCTTCTCTCAAAAGGTTGTGTGACTTTGGAACTCCTGACCACCGGAGAGTTGCAGGGGCAGAATCCTAGTGGATATTTGAGGCTGAAATAGACAGGTAAATTGATTCTTGATTAGTAGGGAAATCAAGGGTTATGGACAAAGGATAGGAAAGTGGATGTGAGGAATGCTAGATCAACCAGGATCCTATTGAATGGTGGAGCAGAGTCAAGGGGCCTATTTCTTATGGTCTTACGGTAACAGTAGGATCTAAAAGGAGTGCTTTTTTCCAGGACAAATCCTGAATGCAATCGATAAGACAGTGATTTGACATTCCCTTTTGACTGCCATTTGACAAAGTTATCAAGTTTTCACTTGGGTTTGGTAATAAAGGCCCAGTTCTTACAGTTAAAGAGTGCTTTGGGGCTTTTGTTTCATCACCTGGAGAAGTGAAAGTGTAGTGAAAGTCACATACGTTGGATTGAAATGTCATGAATTTTTGATGTCTTCTCAGATTAAAACTGGAGCTCCTTGCAGGTCAGAACGCCTGGCTAAATACAACCAGTTAATGAGGTAAAGAGTTTTTAAATTTACGTGCATTGTTCATCAAGATCGTGAGATCAGTCTAAAGTGTAATATCCAAGATTGTACATTGGTTTGTTTCTGAGATTGATTTTGTTTTAATATTGTAGGCAATGAGTGGCTGACAGCACATTGCCACCCATTTACAGATTTCTTGATTTGTTATTTAATCAGCTTTAGGCTCACCCGCCCCACTTCTGGATAATTAGGCAGGACATAAATCAAACATCTAATTCACTATCCCTTTATTCCCTGCCCAACGGGAGAAATTAAAATTGGCCCCTTTATTTTCAATAAGCTGTTGTAGCATCATCTTCACACCATTTGAATGGACAGAGTGTTGCACAATTAATCACTGGAGGCACTATAATTGTACTTTAGATAAATTCCATGGTTATTCTGTGCCAGTCATATTGTCAAGTTTGCTGCTGCACTGGGTGCACCATTAGGAAGTCTCAATTGAAACTGGCAAACTAGCTTGGGGCAGCATGGTGACTCAGTGGTTAGCACTGCTGCCTTACAGCCTCGGGCAACTGTCTGTGTGGAGTTTGCACATTCTCCCCACGTCTGCGTGAGTTTCCTCCGGGTGCTCTGGTTTTCTCCAACTGTCCAAAGATGTGCAGGCTAGGTGGATTGGCCATGCTAAATTACCTATAGTGTCCCGGGATGTGTGGGTTAGACATGGGAAATGGGTCTGGGTAGGATGCTGTTCGCAGGGGTGATGTGGACCTGTTGGGCTGAATAGCCTATTTCTACACTATAGGGATTCTATGATTCTCTCGCCATAATCTTATGTCTCCCACAAAGCAGCTCCAAGGCTGTAGGAAGCAAGAATGGCATAATACTAATGTTAAAAGGGGGCTGGAGGAAGGTTGGAGAGAAGATAAAAGGAAAGTGACTTCTTTGACTCGAAGCTATCACTATCTTTCACTGGAAAGTTCTCTGTTTTGCTGAAGTCCAACCCTAAAGCTCTGAGAATCATAAATATAAAGACAATTCGAATTTATCCAGAATAAACACTGGTTTGGGTGAACATGTATGAGCAGGTCATGTGTGGGTGATTTATTAATCTGTCTCTTTATCACTGATTTCATTTGCGACTGAATCATAGAATGGTTACTGCACAGGAAGAGGCCATTCAGTCCATTGTGTCTGCGCCAGCTTTTTGTGAGGGAGATTAACCAGAACGCCAGATAAAAGTCATGGTCCTCTTTGATATCCAGTTGAACAGGGAGCTGCGATCTTGGTTTAACATCTAATCAAAAGGAGACAATGGAACACTGGAGCTAGCATGATTTCCTGTTCAGGTCATAAACACATCTTGCCACAACTAATGGTTCAATTGGTAAATATTCTATCTGAACACAAGGTACTGAGACCATTAGGTGCAGCTGGTCTCAACTGAGTCAAGTGAATGGCACAGTGGCTCAATGGTTAGCACTGCTGCCTCACAGTCCCAGGAACCTGGGTTTGATTCCAGCCTTGGGCAACTGTCTGTGTGGAGTTTGCACATTTTCCTTGTGTTAGCATGGGTTTCCCCCCACAATCCAAAGATGTGTAGGTGAGGTGGATTAGCCAGAGGAAATGCAGGGTTGCAGGGATGAAATCTGGATGGGATGCTCTTTGGAGGGTCTGGGCTGAATGGCCTGTTTCTACAACTTCTATGAATTAACTGAGCTCTAGCAGGTGATTTGTAGGCTTTCAACAATTATACCCTGTTCACCCTAAGGATGGGAAAGGGATAATCAAACAGGTATCCTTTTCCTCGTAGACGGTGATCTGTTTTCTAAAGTCTTTTCTGGTCCATCCTGTTCTCCTTTGCTCATGTCCAAACCAGACATTTACAAGATAAAGCAGGGTGATTATAGTTTAACGTATGAAAATGGGAAAGCTACGAGACAGCGTATGGTCACCGATGAAGCTTTATCCCACTATGTTGCTAATTTTGGTTAGTGTCAAAAAAAACTTGTCTTCTGCGGTGTGGTTCTCTTTCAAAGCAGAGAAAGCAAAAGGGGATTATTTGATGTATGTGTTTAAAATCATGTGGGTCTTAAACAGTATTTTTATATTTGCTGTACTCTCACCAGCTGATAATCAAAGGGCAAAGATTTGTGGTAATCGGGAAAATAACCAATCATGACAAAAACGGGAAAAATTGTTTGCGTAAGGACTGGTTAGGATTTCAAATACACTGCCTGATAGTGTGATGGAAACCAGTTCACAAATGGCTTACAGAAAGGGAATCGGATAAATATTTGAAGAGGTAAAAGTTCCCAGGGATATTGAGAAGGGGAAAGAAATTGCAGGGATACAGAGGAGAGAGAGCGGGAGTTGGACAAGTTGCATTGCTTTCCAAAAGAAGCAGATCAGACTCTGGCGGAACAAGTAGCTTCTTTTTGTGCAGTCCCATTCTACAATTCGGGAATTTGAATTTCTTGTTTGACCTACTAATTTGCAAGGCTAATTGCACATTCTTCTGTTAATCTTTAACATATATGGCACAAGTGTTTCAGTGACTTTCAGTTGGCAAATGTATAATTAGAAATTAGGTTACCCTTAAGCTATTGCTAGTGACTCCTTCTTGGATAGTTTGGCAGCTGCCACTTGATCAAAAAGTAGTGAATGAATAGGATTTATTCAGGATTGCTTTCATAGCCCTATGTCTTTAATTCTGAGCACTTTCCATTTTGCTGCGGTATCATGACCATAATACCAGTAAGACCTTTAGTAAAATGTTCACTTGTCACTAAAACTTCTTTCAACAGAATTGAAGAGGAACTTGGGCAGATGGCTTGCTTTGCTGGCAGAAGTTTCCAGAACCCTCTTGCCAAATAAACCAGGCAGCATGTTTTCTGTCAACAATCCAGTGTTTAGAGCAGCTTTCACTTTGTTCCTCCTGTACCAGCAGAATTGACATTTGTTTTTGTACTGTCACTGTTGCAGAATTACTGTTCTAGGAGAGGAAAGGGAAATGTGTCAAGTTTTTTGATGTGTTCTTTAGAAGAAAAAAAAAATGCAAGGCTTAAACCATCATGTACATTTGCTGTGCTTAACACAAAAGGCTGCCAGATGTTGAGATCTAAGTGTCTCCAGGCTGTGTTAAATATAAATGAATTAAATGTTCCTGCTCTTGTGATATTGCATTTGTTAGGTTAAGAATCTCTGTGATCGTGTTTTCAGAATGCTTTTCTAATCGAGCTTGAACTTATCATCACCATCTCCCTTGTAGTTGGCCCAGTGTCTGGTACAGCACAAGGATTGCTCTTGGTTCGGTCAGTGACCCAGGTTGAATCAGCTGATCTCAAATTTTGTCCCCACTCGCTCCGTGATGACCTGGGCATGCAGCTTGTTGGCCTTCGCATCAGCCAGGCTTGGCTCTGATGTCCTTCATAGTTGATCATCCTGCCACCACAGACTGTCTGTCTAGGTTTTGTGTAAGATACCAGAAACTGGGGTCTGAAGTACACGGAGGCTGAGAAGAACCCCAGCGGTCAGCTTGCCAGTTTCTTGGCACCTCTGAGTCATTTTTTGCATTTGCAACATTCGGGTGTGGCACCCGATACCCACCTGCAAGTGACAGGGAGCTGGTCAGGCTTTTAGCGTAGAATACCAATGGCACATAGGCCATTCTGTCCATCATGTCTGCTCCCACCTCTCTCTTATGAGCAGTGTGATTTAATACAATTCTCCTGTGTTTTCCCCATATCCACATACATTGCTTCTATTGAAATATACATCTAATGCTCTCTTGCATGCCTCAATTGATTCTGCTTCCACCACACTGCCAGCCAGTGCATTCCAGGCCCGAACCATTCATTCTGTGAGAGTTTTTATTTCTCAATCACATTTGCAAATCACTTTAACTTTGCACCCTCTTGTATTCAATCTTTTTATGAGCAGGAACTGTTTCTCCTGGTCTCCTTTATCCAATCCTTTCATGATTTTGAAAACTTCTATCAGATATCCTCTAAGCTACCTTCTCATCAAGGAGAGCAGTCCAAATCTCTCCTCATAATTAAAATTTCTTACCCCAGAATCATTTCCTCTTCTGCACTCTTGTCGAAAGCATTCACATCTTCCTATAGTCTGATACCCAGAGCTGTACAAAATTCTCCATCTGAGATCTAACAAGTGCCTTGTATAAGTTCAATATAATATCCTTGCTGTTGTACTTTAGGTCCCTATTAATAAAGCATTCAGTATTCAGGGCTTTATTCTCCAATTGTCCTGCCACCTTCACTGATGTATTCCTCTGCTCCTGCACCCTCTGAAGTATTGTACAACTTATTTTATATCATCATCATGTTCTTCTTATCAAAATGCATCACCTCACTATTGAAGATTGGTTAACACACAGAACACAGAGTCAGGATTAATGAGTCTTTTTCAGATTGGAAAGATGTAACTAGTGGAGTGACACAAGGATCACCCCAGTCAACATGGTCAAACCAAAGTTCGATAGTGATTTAGTATAACTTCACGACATTTCAGTTCTACGCCAGTGGAAATAAAATCTTTGCTTTTTTTTACGACTTTGCTAACCTGTGGTGCAATTTATGGTGACTTGGAATATTTTTAAGCTGAGATCACACTGTTCCTCAATGCCACCTAGACTTGCATCTTCCATGCATGAAGTAACCCTCTCTCTTCTTCCGGCCAAAATATACTCCTCCACTTTACATTTGTTGAACTTTGGCCCATTCTGCTCAATCTCCCCACCTGTGAGAGCCCTCCCATCCCAGGAACCAAACTGGTAGACCATATTGTGCTTCATCTAAGAGTTATTATGTATCTTCTCAGAGTAAGGAGACTAAACAGCCATCGCTGTTCCCTCCCTGTCCGCAATGATCTGAAGTTATATAGTGACAGCTAATTCACTTAGTATTTGAAACATTAAGTGAACATTCACACACAGGTACAGGTAGTCCCCAGGTTGCGACCAGGTTGTTTCTCGAGCCTGTTCGCAAGTCGATTTGTACGCAAGTCAGAACACAATGCAGGAGCCATTCATAAGTACAGGAAATGTTAATATGTCACATCTTTAAAATGACACCCCTGTATGAGATCATGTTTGTAAATCCAAGTGTTCATATATCAGGGACCCGTGATGTTGAAGGATACACTTTGCCAAACATTTATTCCCATTATGAAAGCATTAGGTGATGAGTTCCCTCCAGTGGCTGTTAACAATATTGCAACATGTTGAAAATGGTAAAACAAGTCAACTCATGATTCACAATTATTGTGTTCAATGGTTCATTTTAGTCCAATCTTACAATGATTACATGGAAAAAAGACAAGTGATATATTATCTGATGACACTTAACAATCTAGATGAATTAAACGGTATAAAACTGGAAGAGTGTCAGAGGTATTGTAAGAAATAGCTCAACATTGAGGAGCTGTGGACAATCCTTTCAACCTTTTACTTGCAATTGCATTCTATGAGTAATGATGTTCACATCATCTCAGATGAGTATATAAGTTGGAGTTTATTGAAACTCATTCTTCCAGAGAATCAGTTGAGTTAGAACATTGAATGTTTATGAAGACTTTCAGTTTGGTAGGTTAATATAGTTCTAAATTTTAGCAGTCCATTATCAATCACAAAGTTGTCATTGCTTTAATCTACAAAGGATGAGCAAAAACAAAATCAGTTTGCAATTTTTCTAATGAAGGGAGCACTTAAATCTCACTAACAATTTTCTGAGCTTGTAAGGAGGCCATTTGACCTATCATGCCTTTACCCACTCTCTGAAAATGCTACCAATTAATCCCAATCCCTTCTTTACATCCCCACAAATGTTTTCCCTTTAAAACAGAGATCAGTTCGCTTATTAAAATAAATGTTGAGTCTGGTCCATCACAACCTGAAGGATTTGACTTAATTTAACAGCTTGTAAACCAACCAGCTCTCAGTTTTTGGTACATTCACACCAAACCGTTCATTCTCCTTTCTGGAGATAATGGTTATTGATATTATCATGTGGTATTTTAGGGTGACTATTAGCTTGATTTCTTCTGTTCCCATTCAAGGATACTGAGCCCCTTTTTAATCCCTGAAGCTATCCCAGCTAATTGCGATTAACTTGTCATGGACCAGGGACAAATCCTGAGTTCTTTCTGACATCAAAGTGATAGTCATCGAGTTATACAACACAGGAACAGACCCTTCAGTCCAACCTATTCCCACCAACCAGATATCCTAAACTGATCTAGTCCCATTTTCCAGCATGTGGTCCATATTCCTTCAAACCCTTCCTATTCCTGTACCCATCCAGATGCCTTTAAATGTTGTAATTGTACCCACCTCTACCGATTCCTCTGGCAGCTTGCTGTATGCATGCACCACCCCCTGTGTGAAAAAGTTACCCCTCCAGTCCCTTTCAAATCTTTTCCCTCTCACCTTATACCTATGCCCTGTAGGTTTGGACTCCCCTACCCTGGGAAAGAGATCTTGGCTATTCACCCTATCCATGCCCCTCATGATTTTATGAACTTCTGTAAGGTCACCCCTCAACCTCCAACACTCCAGGGAAAGAAAGCCCCACCTGTTCAAGAACAAAAACAGAAGTTGCTGGAAAAACTCAGCAGGTCTAGCAGCATCTGTAAAGAAAAAAGTCAGAGTTAATGTTTCAGGCCCTGTGACCCTTCCTCAAAACAGGCTTATTCAACCTCTCCCTGTAGCTCAAATCCTCCAATCCAGGCCACATCCTTCTAAATCTTTTCTGAACCCATTCCAGTTCAACAATATCTGTCCTATAGCATGACCTCCCAACTGCTTTACTCAGTGCACTGACCGATGAAGGCAAGCATGCCAAACACCTTCTCCACCACAACATCTAACTGCAACTCCACTTTCAAGGAAATATGAATCTGCACTACAAGATCTCTTTGTTCAGCAAGACTCCCCAGGACATTACCATTGAGTGTATAAGCCCTGCCCTGATTTACCTTAACAAAATGCAACACCTCACATTTATCTAAATTAAACTCCATCTGCCACTCCTGATGAAGGTCCTGTTGTACTCTGAGATAACCTTCTTCACTGTCCACATCACCACCAATTTTGGTGTCATCTGTAAATTTACTAAACTTACCTCCTATATACACATCCAGGTCATTTATATAAATGGCAAGAAGCAGTGGACCCAGCACTGATCCTTGCAGCACACCATTGGTCACAGGCCTCCAGTCTGAAAAGCAACCCTCCACCACCACCCTCTGTCTTTGAGCCTACCTTTGAGCCAGTTTTGTATCCAAATGGCTAGATCTCCCCGTATTCCATGTGATCTAACCTTGCTTGACCTAACTAGTCTACCATGAGGAACCTTGTCAAACACGTTACTGAAGTCCATATAGATTACATCCATTGCTCTGCCCTCATCAATCCTCTTCGGTACTTCTTCAGAAAGCTCAGCCAAGTTATTTAGATTTGATTAAAACTGGAAGAACTGTGGATGCTGTAAATCAGGAACAAAAACAGAAGTTGCTGGTAAAGCTCAGCAGGTCTGGCAGCATCTGTGAAGAAAAATCAGAGTTAACATTTCGGTTATGGTGACGTCTGTTCTGCGGAAGGGTCACCGGACCCGAAATGTTAACTCTGTTTTTCCCTTCAGGGATACTGCCCGACCTGCTGAGCTTTTCCAGCAACTTTGTTTGTGTATTGAGATATGATTTCCCATGCACAAAGCCACGTTGATCATCCCTAATCAGTCCTTGCCTTTCCAAATACATGTAAAACCTGTCCCTCAGGATTCCCTCCAACAACTTGCCCACAACTGATGTCAGGCTCACCAGTCTATAGCTCCCTGGCTTTTCCTTACCACCTTTCTTAAATAACAGCACCAAATTAGCCAACCTCCAGTCTTCTGGCACCTCACCCGTGGCTATTGATGATACAAATATCTCAGTAAGGGGTCCAACCCCATCTCTTCATGAGCTTCCCACAGAGTTCTGCGATACACCTGGAGATTTAATGTGGAGTTCCTCCTCAACTGCAGTTGTTTCTCTTCTCCATTTTCCACTTCCTTACTTCTCCCTGATTTTAGCTGCCTAGACCTTGTTCTTTGGAATTCCCTTCTGGGAAAAAAATAATATTTTCTGCTCCTTTTATAATACATCTTAAAACCTACTAGAATCCTTACAGTGTGGAAGTAGGTTATTTGGCCCATCAAGTCCACACCAACCCTCTGAAGAGCATCCCACCCAGACCCACCCCATCCCTGTATTTACCATGGCTAATCGACATAGCCTGCATATCCCTGGACACTATGGGCAATATAGCTAATCCACCTAACCTGCACATCTTTTGGACTATGGGAGGAAACTCGCGCAGGCACAAGGAGAACGTGCAAACTCCACACAGACAGTCGCCCAAGGGTGGAATCAAACCCAGGTCCCTGGCACTGTGAGATAGCAGTGCTAAAAAATTGAGCCACCATGCCACTCACTACTCGGAAGAGTGTAGCTATCCTGTTTAATACTTTGCCTGTTTGCGTCAGAGCTATTTTCTTCACACTTCAGCAATACCTTGAGAGATATCCCTATATTTAAGAAGTTTTATAACAGCATTAGTATTTCCATGGGGCCTTTTAATGTAATAAACAGATTAGTCGCTTCATAGGGGTGCTGTAAGGCAATTTTGATTTAGAGACGTAAATGGCAATATTAAGACAGATAGCTTGAAAGGACCATATTCTTAAAAGTAGACAGAGTTTAGGGAAGGAATTCCAAAGCTTGGGAGCAGCCATAGGCATTTCACCAACGACAGATATATTAAAGTTGATGCTAAAAAGAGGAGTGCAGATATCTCTAGGGTAGTGGGGCTGGTGGAGATTCCAGTGAGAGGGGCCCACGAAAGGCCACAGAGAGGCCTGAAAACAAGAATGACAATTTTAAAATGCAAATGTGGCTTAAACTGGTGCTAGTGCAGCTCAGTGTCAAAAATGTAAGTTGTTTCATCTATCAGAGGGTAGCTAATTTGACGTTCTGATTTCTAAGCCAAACAGGAGTTTGGCAAAGGAAATGATGCGGTGTTCTGCTGTTTTGACTCTTCTATGCAATAACTTTAACTGAATGACCCTTAACGTGTCTGTCTCAAAACATGCCAAAGTGTAGAATAACCAACTGAGCCTGCATACAGCTCCAAGTCACTTGTTTTGTTCACTTCTCAAAGTGAAATAATAACTCTTTGACTGACGCTTCCTGTGTTTACTGAAACGAAGGTCAGGCTTAAATGTCCAGAAAATACTTTTAAACAAGGTGTTTCTGTTTGCTAAATACTGAAATGTTAGATTCCACCCATTCCAAAACTGCTTAATTGGTGCTGTAATACTAATCATAGTGACTGACCGACTTAGTCTGTTGACATTTTACAATAAAGATCATTGTGAACTGGTCTGCTTTGCTGTATTTCTTCATGTCCTTAAACTTGTTCCTTCTAAGTCCTCCCCAACCATACACTCTGCTCTGCAATCTCTGCAAGAATGATGTAAAAGAGTGGTTCATGTGAGCGGCAAGGATTTATACGCAGATTTATCAAATGAGGAGCTGAAGCTGTTTGCTTTAAACAGCAGAGGTTACACAGTGTACCCAACTGGATGACTTTGCAGTGGTGGCCACTTATAGAAGTTTAAGATTTAATTCTCTTTTTTTAATCCACTTGTGGGACGAGAACGTTCCTGGCTGGGCCCAGTATTTATTGCCTGTGTCTGGCTACCCTTGAGATGGTGGTGGTGATCTGCTGCCTTCTTGAACCGCTGCAGTCCATTTGTTTCGCCGTGTCATTTGCGGTGCCTAGGTCAATACCTGGTGCTCTGTCCAGTTTCATTTCTTCTCTGAGATTTCGTAGTGATTGGTACTGAAATAACTCCACAGAGGCTGGTATCCTGTCACCAAGTCACCCTTTATTTACACGTGGAAAGTTGTTGACACTGATCCAACTCCCTCAGAGCTAGATCTCAGATTGAACAGGATGTCTGGCACTCCTGTTTATATCTGTCAGCCAGAGCTCCCTGATTGGACCAGATTAACAGCCCCAATCAAGGAACTCATGTTCTATGAGGTCCACCTGGCTGACCTCATTACAGTCACTGCATCCTTCTGGGGTGTTTTATCATCAGGTAAGGTTCTTCCAACTCTGCCTCAATACTGGCAGCGTGTACCACACAATAGCTCACCTCTTGCGCCTGGAAGAAATTCATTCTTCAGGTGGCAAAGGCGTCATTTCAGGTGAAATCTGCTGAGTCCATCTCAGATTTGGAGGTACCTTCAACATTTGATGGAGAGGGAGAACCCAGAGGTTCTGGAACAGTCAGAAAAACTGTCGAGGAGCAGGGCATATTTTGCTTCTGCACCGTTTGCGAGTTTTCAGCTTTCAGATGGTCCACATGCTTGTTCAGGACTGTCGCACCTACCCGAACTTCATACATCACTGGACCTGACCTTGCGTCAACCATGCCACTTACCCATACAGGGCCATTCCTGTGGTTCCTATGCCAAATTTCATCCCCCAAAATAAACTGTTTCTCTCAATTAGCGGAGTCTTGTGTCCAGCATTCATGTTCCTGATGCCATTTCACTCTCCTCCCAGATCCAGGAAGATCAGGTTTAACCTGGTGCAGAGCCTTCTCCCCATTAGCAACTCTGCCGGAGCTATCCCTGTGGTTGCATGAGAAGTGGTCCTATAATCAAATACAAACTGGGACAGTTTGGTATCTGGTGAAGATGTAGGCTGTTTCTTTAAACCTGCTTTCAAAGTTTGGACTGCTCCTTCTGCCAGACATTGAATGATGGGTGGTATGGAGCTGTCCTTATATGGCAAATACCATTCAACTTTAGGAAATACTTAAATTCCCTGCTGGTAAAGGATGGCCCGTTACCTGTGACCAGGAGTCCATGAATTGCAAAAGACGCGCGCAGTGTTTTTATCATCGTCCCCATGTTTGACGAATGAACTCTATGCAGGTTCAGCCATTTTGTGTGGGCATCCACAATAATTAAGAACACTGAGCCCATGAAAGGACCTGCATAATGAACGTGGAACCGAGTTCCAGGGTTTACCCAGACATTCCCACGAATGTGGGGGAGCTGTTGGCGGTAATTTTTGTCCTTGTTGGTACTCTGGGCATTGCACAACCCACCCCCAGCCCCCCCCCCCCCCCCCCCCACTCAATGCAGTTATGTCTGCATCTAATCCTGCCCCCCCAGCCATAACTCCTCACTAACATCTTCATTTCGGATACCCCTGAATGACCCAGGTGGAGTTCAGCCAGTATCTAGTGGTGACATTTCCTCAGGACAATCACTCTTACTCCTCACGGTTATATGTTGTCCTCTACTGTGATCTGGTCTCTCTGAGTCAAAAGAAGATTCAATTCTGGTTGAGATGGCCCTTTGGTATCCCCCATCAAATGTTTCAGTCCAAAGTCTGATATTGTCAACTGTGACTGGAAGGGTATCCAGAAAATTTAAAACCATTACAGACTCTTCCCGTGGTGGTACCACCGGTGGTATACCTGCCAATGGGAGGCAGCTCAATGCATCCACATTTGCTACTTGGCCTCCTGCACGGTGTTCCAATTTGTAATAATACGCACTTAGTATTTGAGCTCACTGCAGCATTCGGCCTGAAGCCATTGGCAGCACTGCCCTGTCCTCTTTAAGTAGACCTTACAGGGGTTTATGGTCCTTTATTATTACAAATTTACGTCTGTGAAAGTATTGGTGGAACTTTCTGACTCCAAATATGACTGCCAAACCACACTTCTCAATCTTGGCGTATTTACGCGTTACATTAGCTAAAAAGTCCTGGGTGCATATGTTATTGGGCATTCCTCTCCATTGAGCCTATGAGCTAATACCACCTCGATTCCATACAGGGAGACAATTGCATGTCAATACCGGATCTCGCTTGGGATCATAGTGTGTCAACACCTTAGAAGGTGACAGCTATTTCTTCACTTTGCTGAAAGCTATGGCTTGGCTATGCAACCAGTTCTAAGGCTGACCCTTTCTTAAGAGTCGATATAAAGGTGCCAGGATGGAGGCCAGGTTATGAGTGAGCTTTCTGCAATAATTCACCAACTCAAGGAAAGACCTAAGCTCTGATATAGATGTGGGAGCCGGGGCACCTTTGATCACACTCACTTTATCTTCCAACGGTTCTTGTCAACTCTGTAGCCCGAGTAGATCACTTGAGGAACTGGAACACACATATTTCCCTTCTAAGGCGTACACCCAACAGGGAGAAACATCTACAGACTATGTCCAAGTTCTCTTCGTGCTTCTTATTGGTCTTCCCAGTTTTAGCACATCAATGGGATAAATGGCAACCTGGAGCAGACCTTGTAAAACGTTTTCCATCATCCATTGACAAATTGCACAGGCTGATGATAACCTAAATGGCAATGTCATGTAAACTGGTACAAACCCTTATGGGTATTAATTGTAGCCTTATTCTGGAAATCCTCATCTATCTGCAATTGCAAGTACGCATGTCCAGCTTCAGGAAGGACAGCACCTCTGCCAGCTTTCCTCTGCTGCATAAAGTGGCTTACCATTTGTTTAAAATCCCCACAAAGCCGATCCATCAGGCTTGACAATCGGTACAAACAATGTTACCCTTTCTGCAATCTGGACTGGTTTGATGATTCCTTCACTTTCCAGCCTTCTGATTTCTGTGTCTACTTTTGCAGGTAAGGCAACTGGCACTGGGACCCTTGCGGAATCATGGAATTGCTTCCTGGTCAACATGCGAGTTGGCCTTGGCTCCTTTGATAGTGCATAGACCTTCCTGAAAAACCTCTGGGTATTTAATTAGGACTTCACTCAGGCACCCATTTTCTAATTGAAAAGTGTAGAGCCAATCTCGGTGAATCTTTCTCAACCAATTTCACCCCATCAAGCTTGGGCCTGAGCCTTTTACTACAATCATGGGTAACTAAACCAGCTGCTTCTCATAAGAGACCGGAATCAAAGTTGTACACTTAATCTGTAAAGGTGTCCCGGTATAGCTTTTCAGTCTAGCCAAGGTCTTGCGCAAACTTAAGGGTTGGTTTCCACAACAAATTTTGTTAAAGACTGGTTCTGCGATCACTGAAATGGCCATGTTGGTATTGACTTCCATTGGAGATGTTTTATTCTCATTGCCACTGAAATAACTCCACAGAGGTCAGTATCACGTCACCAAGCCACCCTTTATTTACATGTGGAGAGTCCCTGGCACTGATCCAACTTCCTCAGAACCAGCTCTCAGAGTGAACAGAACCTTGGACACTCTTGTTCTTATCTGTCAGTCAGGGCTCCCTGATAGGACCAGATTAACAGCCCCAACCAGGAAACTCATATTCTATGAGATTCACCTGGCTGCCCTCATTACAATCACTACAGATACAACTGAGTGGATTAGTAGGCCATTCCAGAGGGCAGTTCAGAGTCAACCACATTGTTGTGGGTCTGGAGTCACATGTAGGCCAGACCAAGTAAGGATAGCAGATTTCCTTTCCTGAACAGATGGCTTTTTTCCAACCCAAAAAATCAGCAACAGTCTCATGATCGTCGCTAGATTCTTAATTCCAGATATTGATTGTATTCAAATTCCACCATCTGCCATTGCAAGATTTGAACACAGGTCTCTGTAAGATTAGCTGAGTTGCCTGCATTAATAGTCTAGCAATAATACCACCAGGTCATCACCTCCCTTGCTATCTGATTACATGGAATTCAACGTTGCTCATGATTCTTGATCACATGACACTTGATCAAGTGACTTTTGCCCACTGTTTGCCAAAGCCACTACATGTTTTCACTATTACAAAGTCCCAGAGTTCACGCCAAGTTATAAAAGTAACTAGACCACATTTATGGAAGCCTAGCTTCGGGTGGTGCTGGGGAGGAGGCGTGTTGGATATTGGATGAAAGTGCAGCTCAGAGCTCAGTAAAACACCAAAACCGGTTCCTGGAACAAGTTAACACCAGTGCACGTCACAGAACAGCATGAAGTCTCATTCCAGTTTGTCATTTTCTCTCTCTCTCTATTCCTTCAACAGCTTTTTATTTCTTTCTCTATTCCTTCAATAGCTTTTTTTTTCTTTCTCTCCCTGTCTTTCTAGTTTGTGCTTTTCCCTCTCTTTCTTCCCTAGTTTGTGTTTCTTTCTCCCTCCTCCCTCCAGTTGTTCATGAGAGGGATGGTTAGCTCAGTTTGCTGGATGGCTGGTTTGCAATGAAGCATAATACCAACAACACAGTTTCAATCCCACCCTGGCTGAGGTTACCATGAAGGAAACTCCTTCTCAACCTTCCCCCTCCCTGAGGTCTGGTGACCCACCACCAGCTGTCTCCCTCTAATGAGAGAGCAGCTCTCTGGGACTGTGGCTACTTCTTTGTTTTACCCCTCAC